ATGTAGTAAGCAAATCGGATTTTTATTTTTATTTAATATTCTTCATTGAAATGTTAAACTTATTAGAATTAAGAATGTATTTTAAGTGAATTTGATGCTTATGATAAATTTATGACAGATTTTCCGAATAAACTTATGAAGTACTTGAAACATTTATTTGGATGCAACATGTTCTGTGAATACATCGGACACAACCGAAGTTCTTAACAGAATTTTTATTTTGATGAAATAAATGAAATATATATTTTCATCAGAATTATCTGTCAAATTAACGCGATCACAAACGATCGAAGATATTTCCTCGAGCATATCGCCGTAGAGAAATCGTGTCTGCCAAGGCGCACAAATAGACGAATTCAGTGCTTCGCGATTCCAGGATTTTCCTCGCGCATTATATTCCACGCAATAAGATCGGCACGCGGTGCGCTTTATTAGCTTGAGAAACGCGAGAGGGTTTGAAGCTCTCACTCGCTCTCTCTCTTTCTCTCCTTTTCATGGGAGAGAGAGGAAGGGGAAGGGGCTAACAAAAGAAAATGGTGTCTCCGTGAAACGGATACGCGATCGTTGAATGCTCGACCGGCTTCTTTATATTCCTCCCGCTAAGTATTCCGCTTAGTCGAATGATTCGGGGTTGAATCGAGTGACTCGACCCCGTCGCGTTTCACGGAGGCGTCGAAGCGTGGATAACGTTCGACCGAGGTACAATGATCGCGAAAAGCAGGGTTAGGCTAGGCGATGCACTAGTGACACCTGATACTACGTAATTAGTGTCAACGGTGCGCCGACGCTGCGTAGCCAGGAAGGTCTATAGGGACGCTGTCAGTATACGAAATTACACCGAGCACGTGCGCACCTGCGTTAAGGTCTCTTTTGCTGCCTCAACAAATAAAGTAAAAGCGCCAATAAGAGCCAGTACGCTGATGAAAGTGCATGAGCTATAATAATCTATATCAGTAATGCAAACAGAAAGTAAACATTTATTTTGTCCTTTGGACCTTCATCAATACTTTTATCTATTCACTACAATTTTTGAAACGAGATATCTCATGTAGACGTAAACATGTTCATAGTAACATCACATATGTACGTTAACATTTATTTATTGTGTGTATTATTCATGTGTGTGTATATGTGTGGAGAAACATTAGGGATATTATTTGGCTAAATTGGTTGTCATAACAAAATATTAATATTATTTTTCGTCCATGTACACAAAAGAAGAAGAGAGAAAGAGTTATACAGACAGCATAATCCTATTTATTATTTCTTTTAGGCGTCTTTTAAACTTTTTTAAAATATCTGTTAGTAATTTGTGTTGACAGATGGACATATATATAAAAACAGAATTATTTAAATGCAACATCTATTTAACTTGAATTTGCATGATTTCTTTTTCTAATAATAGAAAATGCAGTTGTAGCAATCATAATAGTTTTCTCTGTTATTATTAAAGTATAATTTATTCAGTGATATAAAATAAAGATTCTCTTAAGCATAGATCAACGTAAGTACAGTTTCAGCGATGTATAATGCATGTGTCAAATAATCAAATAATCTTAATTATATAATGTTAGGGCATATATGATGTTTGATGTACAATCACACGCGAACGATCTAAACGTATCAAACATGAGATAAACACTCGCATTTCTCATCGAACAATGGCAAATCGATCGGCGAGCGATCATCATCGAAACGCCGCGTCATTGAATCAAGCACACGCTCGCGGCACGCAAAATGATCGCAGCAGGAAGTACTAAATCCCTTCCGCGTGATATCGGGCCGTTCGCAAATGCGGCTCTTAGCCCTCGGGAGCTGTTTCGCGCGATCGTGCCACCCCCGTTAATATCCTTATAATTGGTTAAAACCCGTAACTGATGAGCGAACTGTAAGTTATTATGCGAGTAGACCCTTGGTTCGCCCGACGATGGGGGTTTACGGGATACGGTTCGACACCTCTTCATTACCCTCTTCATCCCTCCATAGAATCGGCGGCGTGTCAATGCGGACGCCTGCATTATGGCGGCCTCCGTATTGTCATTGTATCACGGATCGCCGAGGATCGTCCGCTCCGCTGCAGAATTCGCGCGAATGTACGCTCGAACGGGCTGATATCCGCAAAAATGTGTTCGCTACACATTTCGGTCGCGCTTCGCATAAGATCGGATTTATCGGGCAGGAAATCTACGATGGGTTTGCGGAAATGACAGCACTTGTCGAATTTATTTCCGACATTTCGCGACTTCACCGATAATCACTCATTCGCTTCTCTGTTAATTTTTTTTTTCAACTTTGGTACATGGTAGATGGTTATTTTATATTTATATTTTTGTATATAATTTTACATCGAAATATTAATATTCAAATCGTTCTATGTGAAGTATCGTTCGATTGTAAGTATTAATAATTACTATGAAGTATCAACTCACAAAATTATGATTTTTGAGCTTTTGTTACCAATGGGTAGTCTGTTTCTAAAATAAAAAATCCAAGCCTTATGGGCGTTACAAAGTAATTAAAAAATTAATTTTATTTTTTACTAATTACGTTTTTTACCTATTTTTTTAAGGGTTGAGCTTGTCAATGAATACCATTAAAGAGAAGAAAATTGACTGTGCTCGACTTCTTGAACAAATGCGAAGAACCTCAGTGCTATCTGTACTTTTTGAAATGTATATTAAAATAAATTAATAAAATATTGAAAATATATTAATAAAATAATATAATAATTAATATATTAATATATAATAATAATAAGCAAAATAAATTAATAATATGATAAATTTTTATTTTTTTCAAAATGCACTCTATGTAAGTTGAATCATTTTTATATAACTACGACGAATTGTGAGTATCAATAAATTCTATCAATTGTGAATTGTTATAAGTTATCAATTGCAAGTTAACAACTTACAGATATTATTAAAATTATTCCATAGTATGTCTAATAATAACAATATTGATGTGCGATAAGCAATAGTTGAATCTGAATTTTCGATTCTTTTTTAAAATGATGTCTTCCTAAACAGCAATGCAAGCGTTTTAAAATCGAGTGCTTTCCGGACGTCGCAACAGCGGTTTCGAGCGATTTTACGGTACGCCGAATTTGGCGGTTCGGTTCCTTCCTTCGCAGGGCAAAATTCCAAAACCGGAATCGCGGTAGAGCGAGCCAACTTAAAAGACGACCGACGCGCTTACCTTACGATCTACCCTTCGGGAAAGATGTATTCGTACGACTTCGTTGATTCAGGATGGTCGCAATAGAAGCAAGAAGCCGGCAACTCAAGAAGTAGAGCTCCATGGGCTCCAGGTGTTAATAATCCGCCTTTAATTGTGCCCCTCCGGCGCAGATAATTCCCATTAAACGCCAGTAAATACTTGTTTGTATACAAGTCCCCCGCTGCGTGACCGGGACTCTTTGACACCTCTCCTAAGAAGAGCCGAAACTTCCTGCCGTCGTTCGGAGAAGTTGTATTCGCTATTCCTTTCGGCAAGTTCTACAGCGACGAACGATTATTCGATTCGCTTCTAACGACAAAATTGTCGTTAGGAACGAACGATGATGCGGAAAAACCTGCTGTTAAATTAAAATGAATGTAACCTAATGCGCTCGTTTTCTCCCTTCAGTTTCTTCATCACGAGACTGTAACAGAGATCGTAGTACCTCTATGTGCATGAAGCCGATCAGATGTGTTCAATATCCGTATCATCAAATCCAGATGCATTACTGAGATACGGCGCGTCGCGTATCGACCGCGAAAGTATTTCAATGACGGACCGTGTTACATCGCAAACACCAGGGATTCCTCGTTGACACGTAGCTCGAACGACATTCTATGGAAGGCCTGATCCCGTAACGACCGATAGTATTTGATAAGAGACAGGGTGGCCTCGATGGTTGGATGAGCTCGGATTTAATGGATGGAGGACAGATTCTGCAGATACATCAGAGGACCGGCACGATATCTCGCGCAAACATCAGGACAGAAGCACGTTGCCCTCTCTCCCCCTCTCTCTCTCTCTTTATCCCCCTCTTCCTCTCCCTCTCTGACCCTCCTCGACGCACTCCGAGCTCAGCACCCTTCGACGCCAACCCCTGACTCACCTCCCACCCTTTCACGCAGCTTCTATCTTCCTTGGTTGCACTTTCAATCTCTGTTTCGCTCTAAATCACGGTATCTGTCTCCCTCCCTCCTTCTCTCTTTTCTCTCTCTCTCTCTCTCAATCTCCCTTCTTCTCACTCGCTCAGCCTCTGCTTCGTATGAGAGGATCACATCATCTCTAATGGTGGATGATGCGATGTATTTCCTTTGTCTCTCCTATTTCAACATTCTCCGTTGGTCGCGACTGGCTCGTCCTCGGTAACATCGATTCCTCATTCTCTCCATCTCTTTCTCGCTCTCTCGCGATTGTAGAAGATGGGATATCGAGCTAGACGGTGTGCTTAAGGGGCGGTTCTCGCTCGGCTGCAGTTAGATTAGGGATCGTTCGGATGATGTGCTCCGAAGATTAGCGCATATACACCCTCGTTACGTACATTACACCGAGGGTTAAGCCTTTTTCCCGCGTAATCGATACGCTATTTTATGAAGCTCTTTCGCGATGAACACGTTCCACCTCTCACACGTACCGGATACGTTTCGGAGTAATTTAGGACTACCAGCTAAATCGATGGAATTTCATTACGTTCCCTCTCATTGGGAGTTATTGAGTAAAAATACCAAAATTTCCCGACCTACCATAGGAGGATAGGAGGTAACCGGAAGATTAAAAATTTTGCGGATTTTTTAATCGGACACAGATATACGTAAAGAAAAAAAATAATTTTAAATAAGTAATTTCCAAGTTATCCCTTTTCTTGCTCTTGGAAATTACAAATTTCGAAAATGTGCTTTTTAATGATATAGCTGATTAATGAGCTCTGTGAACATAATGTTGTATCGTGAAGTCGATTCTGGAAGGACAAGTTCTGGAAAAGAAACAAAATGGCGATTCGCTGGTATCGATAAATTTATTGCATCGGATTGACTCATATTTACAACAGGGACACATACATATGCATTTTCATCTACTCTACCGATTATCTACATATATAATCTTTCGTCTTTAGTTATGCTTGATTATTTCCACCGCGATTAATTGCCACTTATCTAGCTCGCACAATACACATACGTAGACAAGAGTCCATTATGTTTTTCTCCGTCAAAATAAATGTTCAACGTAATGTGAAACAAACCATTCTTTCGTTGTAAACAATCAATTTTGCCTCGTAACGCGGTGCGTGTTTTGAAATTTGTTTTACATACGACGGAAGGAATAATGTTTAGGTTGCTCTTTTAGCCATAAGATGTAAATAAAAATGCATAAATAGATAGACACTTGTTTCAATATAATAATAATAATAATTCTTATAAACTTTCTTGATTCTATTGCAAAGCGCGCGCGCTCTTAATGATCGTAGTCGCATTAGTCACGATGATCATGATTTAGCTATAATAATTACAATAATAATGATAATAGTGACCAACATTTCATTTGCTATCTATATGATTCACTTAAAGCTACTATCACACCGATTTATACATTTGCCTAAATGTAAATAGATATGCGGTCAATGTGTAAGATCGCTCCGTACATCCACATACTCCTTATTTGTAATTTTGCGATACAAAATCTTCTTTAATCTTCGTGTTCGATTATGTGTATCTATCTTGTTCCAATGAAATAGAAATCCTTATAATGCAGTCTTATTTAACCACGAGGATACGCAATTGTTTCTTTACGTGCCGACATATTAGAGATGTACAAATTTGTCAATTCATCCAATCTTTGATATATATCACCGGTATTTCTGAGGAAAATATAAAGTTAACTCTCTTTATTACGCGTAAATGATTATTAAGAAATAAGAAAAAAAGTTTCGCAATTTCTTCCATGAAAACGTATATTCGTGCCGAATTTTTACTTGCGCCAAATGACGAAACAATTAACACATAATGGAACTCGACGGCGAGTATTTTCTCTTTGAGATCTGGACGAATTTTTGATAAGTCTTTCGGACGATGTTATCGTACTCTCATGGCTCTCCATCAGTCTCTGTATTGAGACGATCCTAATTACAGATCACTTTGCTAATAACTCCCTCGTTCCTCTCCACCGTTACGCGCATAATGTATTTGCTTTTGCACATACAAATATTTACAAATATTTACATATATGATTAATTAGCCCGCAGGAGTCCATTGATGCAGCCATCAACGCCCGAAAATCAATCATTAAAACCCTTCGCGATTGGCCAAGGGACTAATAGGGCATCTATGTCTTGTTGGTTTACCTCCCAACGTGCTCGATTCAGTTCACGCGGCAAATTATTTCATATCAGATACGTCTAGTATATATTCCGCAGTTTGACCTCGTATATTGATCGAAAGTATCTCATTTGAATTGTTGCAACGCCTACCATCGAGCGTTAGACTGCAGTATAATCTGATGATAAAATGTAATACAAGTTTAGTCAAGAATTCTTCTTTTCGACTGCGAAATGGGGAATATTATGAAAATGATCTGAAAAAATAAATTCTATAAACCTCGATCTCTCGATTTGATGCATTATAAAAATAGAGAACCGCGGGAGCGCTGTTTTTTCAACATATCAAAGTAAGAAAATCGAGCGGCAATTTCATTCGCGTCATTCGTCACTTGTGTTTCGTTCATAACAAGCGATTGAGTCTTCGCAACATCGGTGAACTACTGACTGCTGGACTCTTTCCTCGTAAGCGAACTGTAAACAACAATCTTTCTTTTATTTTTGAATTTTCCACGAACTTACATTTTTATTCGTCGAACATTATATCGTGTATTTCTTTAAAACGCGTCGTAAATCCCTCGCCTCTTGACCGCGATAAAGTTCTTTCCGAATAATAACTCGAAAGTGTGCGTCTACTTCACTTGGAAGTTTGCGCCAACTGACCCATGTCAGCCGAGTAGCAAGGTGAACCGAGAATAAGCGGGTACTGAGTCTTCCTGGAATAGTGTATGTTCTCGTTCTGTCACAACATTTTGCTGAGAGAGTGATAACTGGTAGACCCAGGAGGGGGGAGTATGAATGGACTGACGATGGAGTGCTCGGGCCCATGGTATACCGACGAGTAGCCCGATTGTTGGTTGTGACTCTGGCCCGAAGCGTCCAGTCCATTGAGCACTGGCGAGCCTGTGTCGTGCAGCTTCCTCATGTGTTTCTTGAGATCGAAGTTCCTGCAGAAGCCCTTACCGCAGATTTTGCAGGAGAACGGCTTCTTGTCGTTGTGCGTGTGCATGTGAAAAGTCAGATTGTAGATCTGGTGAAAGGCTTTGTTGCAGATGTTGCACTTGTACGCCTTCTCGCCGCTGTGCGTCAACTTGTGATTTTTGTAGTTGCCCTTCTGGTGAAAACCCTTGCCACAGAACTCGCAAACGAACGGCTTGAAGTTTGCGTGGATGCGCGTGTGAGTGTTCAAGGTGGAGCTCCGGTTGAAGGCCTTGCCGCAGGTCACGCATTTGTGTGGCTTCTCGGCGGTGTGGATGATCTTGTGTCTACAGAGAGTGCTCGCCTGTCGGAAACCCTTACCGCAGATCTTGCAGACGAACGGCCGGGCGCCCGTGTGTACCGGCATGTGTCTCGTCAGGTTGTAGTGCGCGTTAAACACCTTGCCGCATTCCGGGCAAGTGAAGGTCTTCTGCTTGTTCGTGGTGCCCAGGTCGCTCCGCGGCGCTGGACTCTTCTTGCCGCGCTGGTTCTCCGGCGACATGCTCGCCAAGCTCAGCCGCGAGGAGGCCTCTTGGATTGCCGTAGGGGGTGGTGAGCTCTGTGTGACTGACGGTGTTGAGGCCGGAGGACCCGGAAAGGCCCTTAATAATGGACTCGGATAATACAATGGGTAATACTTGGACAATACGGGATAATGCTGGAGCAGATCTTGATGCCTCAACGTCGGCACGTATTTCTCGAACGCCGATTTCAGGTGCGCCGAGTACGATGGCGAGGTAATGTTCGGTGGTTGTTGCAAGATCGTCGTCGTCGTCGGCGGTGGCGGCGGCGGCACCGAATTATTCTGCTCGGTTAGTCGCTTGTCCGGCTCCATGATCTTCGCGATGGAGAAGGTCAGATTTCGGCAGGGTGTTGGAGTGGTCACCCTCTCGGGCGGCAGGCTGGTCGGTGTCTCGGTCGCCATTGTGCTGCCTGTCGCGAATGGTTGCATGGTAGGCCTGCAACGAAAATACTGACCGTCAGATAGTGTTTCCCGGCGCGTCGGGATTTTCATGGTCGAGGGTGAACCGTAGAAAGGGGCTTGGAAGAACACTCCCCGGTACTTAACACCGCCCACCGGCTGATTTCTACCGCGATTTCAACGCCCCGTCTCTCAACGCAAGAGAAATGTTCTTTGTTTGGGATTCCGTGAGAGATTCTTTTGTTATATATATATATATATATATATATATATATATATATATAGTTTTATTTTCTTATTTTCTTCTATTAACAAATAAAAATTTCTGCAGGATTAGTATGGAAAGATAAACGTTAGTAATAATTAAGTATAACTTTATTTATATTTTAAATTTAATTTTTAATATTAAATATTATTCCTTTTTCTGAAATAATTACATGAGTGATTAATGATAATAATAATGTAAGTGCATTTGGTTTATTTTAATTCTGTTTTAAGACTTGGGTTTACAATTCAAAATGACTTCGAAATAACTCACGAATAAGATTTAATAGTACTGAGAAATTATTCAAGATATGCATTAATCAACTCATTTTTTATCATTGATAATGCATTCGGTATGCACGTGGCTTTACTAGCAGTTCGGAAGAGATATGAAAATTATAGCGATAAATTTGATAACTGCTTCGAGGGCTGCTGGTAATTTTCCCTTCGCAGGCTCTACATTAGTGTTTTAGCACACATCGACGGAACCCACATGCCAGTAAATCTGAGCGAAACATGTGGTACCTCTATTACATCCACTCAGTTGGACCTCGAGTTCATATAGAAGGAACACCGCATAGTGAGCGACGAGGGTTGCTAAACGTTGGCTTTTAACAAGGAAACGTGTCTATTTTTGCTTTATTTTCTGAACGCAGTCAATATTTCGTCATTTCACGTATTATCTGTACGTAAATATAATCTTTTTCATAAATTTCATGAAGAATATAATCAATAATATCAGTGAATAATCGCGCGTGATCTTATTTACCAATTTTTCTAATTAATAATTAAAAATTTTACTTGGTTATTTGCGAAATAGTAGAGATATTTTGTGTTCAGTTTAATGAATTCTACCTGCACAGAACAGATATGTCATGAATTGTCCGATACTCCAATATACTTCAGTAGCGATTCATCCGCAATATGTAGTATAAGTTGAAACATTGTCAGTACATTTCAGATATTTACTAGCAAGATAAATTACACCGAATAGGATATATATACGCAATTTAAACGTATATTTATGCGCGACAGATGTACATGCGAGCCAACCATTAAGCATATGCAGTGCGGGAACGGCGAATGAATGGCGGAACTGAATGAGACGCGAAATGGTCAGCACAGTTGAAGAGCAAGCTTCCCCGAGGTATCACGGAAGGTTTGCACGTCGAAAAGTAGAAATGTTTGCTCCGCGGAATGGCGTTATGTTTGGACTTGGAATGACGGCTAGAATTGGATGGGAGCTCGTTGACAATCTCACGAAATACCGGCTGCTGGATTCGCGACGGCCGCTGAATCTTGATTCAAGATTCATGATAGGATGAGTCTGGCTGAAATAAGCTCGCGCAGTCAGAAACGCATCCGCCATTAACTGTTAAACGAGAAGAAGAGAGACCTCGTCACTTTGTTTCCGTTAATAAGATAGAACTAACATCAGCGTTTGAATACGATTTTTCACGGAATCAATTTAATTCGCCTTAATCGCCCAGTAACTTCTTTTGTCACAACGTGCTATAATACGACTGCTATCTGTCCTCAGGTTCTCCCTTGCTGTAAACTTTTCCGAAAAGCTCAAAAGAGCGAACTTTACTGGATAAAACATGACGCAGTGGCCTTTCGCAAGCCCCGCCCAATGTCGGCTACCTCTCGATTGTCCCTCGGCCAAAGGCAGCCCTAATAACCAGGAGAACACGGTAGGAAAAGCTACCCCTGGTGTGAGAAGCGAGACTCGAGAAGGGAAAACGACCTTCGTCGCACACCCCGAAACGCCCCTGCGGCCTATAGAAAAGCGCCCACGACGACGTAGACAACGCGTCGCTCCGTGACGTAGCGACGCCAACTTCAGCGCCATAGAAGGGCGCAACTGTCGGCCGAAGTGTACCGCCGACAAAGGATCACGATTATATATCGCGGAGGCTCTCGGCGCCCTTCGAGGTGAGCTCGAAGCAGCCGTCGTCTCTCGCGCCACTTTGCGTTCCCGTTGTTCGTCACGCTTTTCTCTGTTCTTCTTCCTCTATATCGGGTTTACCCTTCATTCAACATCTTAAATTCTGATCAGACTATAACATACTTTTTTTAAGTTTGCAACTTGTGTTCGTCTATACACGTCGATTTGATGAAATTTAGATGTACAATAGATACTTCTATTCCATAACTTCCCGTCTTTATAATTAATCTTCTTTTTAAATTTTATGTGTGTTTTTGTTTCTATTTGCATCTTTCGTACGCGCTAACTCTTATTATTTCTTTTTACTTCTCCCGGTAAATGCCTCTCACGCGTATTTTCCGTCCTGCTATTTTCCTTTTTCTCCCGCACTCTGTTCTCACTTCTCTTCTCTTTCATCGCTTCACGTACATTATCTTCTTCGTTACTCCAACACACACACACACACACACACACACACACACACACACACACACACACACACGCACGCACGCACACACGCACGCACGCACGCACGCACGCACGCACGCACGCACGCACGCACGCACGCACGCACGCACGCACGCACGCACGCACGCACGCACGCGCACACACACACATACATATAATCCTTAGCTCTCTTCTCACACTCTTCTCATTCACACGCTTCTCCCTCCACTATCCTCATCCTCCCTCACACATCCTCTTTCTCATTCTCACGCTTTTCCCTCCATCTCTTTCGCCCTGTCTCCTGCCCCTCTTTTGCATTCTCTCTCGCACCGTTCCCTCCGATTCCTTCTCACACATTACCTAAAGCTATACTTCATCCTTCTCTTCGGTATCGCGTCAATCCATCTCTTCTTCCAGTTCCCCACTTCTCGTTTTACTTCACTGTCGACAGAGACAGACTGAGTCGCTGCCGACGGAGGGGATGAACGAGAACAGATTGGTGGAGGCTACGATCGGTCGCACAAGGGTGCAAGAAGCGAGGGGTGGCGAACCGTATGTAGTGGGGGCCAGCATTGTTACAGTACTTAACGAGCGGCCGTGGCAATCAGTATCGTTCCCCGCTGCCGAGACTCGCGGCACCCGGCAATTCTACCAATTTATATCAATCCCGATCGAAGCATGGCCGACACGCACCCAGGGACCATTTTGTTTCTTTAATGCCACTCGATCTCATCGACGACGCGTCCCACGCGATCGCAAACGCGGTCATTTGCTCCTTTCAGAGTCTGATGTACTTTTGCGAATTACTCACTTCACAAAATTAAATTTTGAGGAAAAAGATTCGCGTTTTACTAAACGATTTCTTGTAAAGTGTTAAAACGCAAAGCAAATTTTCAATAAGATGCATACTGGTTAAATTATCATGTTTATTTATACGTACTGAGATAGAAACAGTTTATGAAATTTATGTTGTCAAATCTAATAATAACACTTAAATACCCATGTCGGGTATTACGCGAGTATCCACGTGTGATTAGTGTATATTTTGTCGTAAAACAACCACTTGCGCACTTTTTATAAAATAAAACTGCAGCAAGTTTTTTTTCACTACTGAGAACTATCTTACTCTAAATTAGTAGAGCTCTAGATTTACAGAGAAACGTTATTGAAAAATTTTATTTCATTGGCTGAATCATAAATCCTAAACGTTATATTGTTTCCGTAACGATTAAGAAGCTTATACTATTCCGGTAAATTGTGATATTTTTTAAATATTTTTAGTACATCATGACGTAATAAAGCACTTTTTTATGTGCAGAATTATAACACCAAGCCATAAATTTAAGCTAATCATGAAGTGAATATTAGATTAATCACTGAGATTAATTTTATATATAACTGTACATACAAAATAGCGACTCTCAATATATCGCATCTTAATGTCGCCTCTTTGTAAATCTATGGCTCTGGAAATTAGTTATTATAAAAATCAATAATAGAATAGCAATTATTAGTATTAATTTCAGGTGCCCAAATGTCTGGGCATATAAAGGTTATACTGACACCGGTCGAAACAAGGGTAAAATCCTAAAATTTTCAAATGCCTTGGCAGCTAAAAACATATATTGTACAATAGAATAAAAGTTTAACAATATTCCATTATTCACAGCTTGCGAACAGGTGTGCACAATCGAGATAAAAATGTTTCAGTGTTTAAAATATAGTGCATGCAATGTGGACATTCATATTGTACATGTATTTTTAGAATCTGCTTTTTTGGAAATTGCAAATCTTCTTTATAGCCACCCCCTTTGCACATTCGATACATAGATATGTGATTTCGTTATATTATAGATGCGAAGTCTATTATTTACTAAATTTCCGTATAAATGTACACGCTTTTCTATCTTCTCGCGTTGAGAAAAGGCAATTACGCGGATCTTGAGTGATGTTGTCTTAAGCCGATAACTGTATTATAAAATAATTCACAAAGAATGGACAGCAAACAAGGCAAACTTAACATGAAGAAATATTCAAAGCGGACGATACAAACAAACCTTGCACAAAAGACGCGCGTTCTACGCGATGGTAAAGCTCGCTTTCGTGACCAGCTCGATAATACAGCAACCCCTTCGCGAGCGAGCGATTCATCGCGGTAGGGATTAAATCGCAGGCGCTAAATGTACAAAGTTTACCGATGTGGTTACAAACGATCCGAAGAATCCAATCACCTCCAGTAAACTATTAGCGGCGATGAGCGGATAGCTTCGTGCTTAAAGAAAGTTGAAGGGGTTCGAAGGAACTTGAAATGGCTTTGCAAATTTGCCCGTCTCGTTGTCAGTCTGCTAATTACCTTTCTCCACCCTTCAGCTCCTTCAGCCGCCAACCAAGATTTCGTT